AATATTCAACAAGCTGTAGACTTTTCTTATTATCGGGGTGAACATGGCTCAAGAGTTGGCAGTTTGTCTTGTAATCCAGTTCGAGCCCCGGCTCAGACAGTCTCGGTCGTCGTGTCCTTGGGCAAGACACTTCACCCGTTGCCTACTGGTGGTGGTCAGAGGGCCCGGTGGCGCCAGTGTCCAGCAGCCACGCCTCTGTCAGTGAGCCCCGGGCAGCTGTGGCTACAATGTAGCTTGCCATGACCGGTGTGTGAATGAGTGAGAGAGAAACCTCTGGCAGAACCAAGCTCAGTGAGGGGTGGCCATCTGCCTCAAACCGGTCTTGGGGTTTTTAAAATGATTCCCTGGATGTGAAATAAATTGCCTTGTTTGAATTGTTTGTTGTTAGGCAATTTAAAGGCTCACTTTGATGTCAACTAATACACTTACATGGTCCAAATAATTTGAAATAAATATTTACAGAACATTCGTCAGTGGTACTGGGTCCCTGGCTACAATGTAACTTGCCATGACTGGTGTGTCAATGGGTGAATGACTGAATGTAGTGTAAAGCGCTTTGGGGTCCTTAGGGTCTAAGTAAAGTGCTATACAAATACAGGCCATTTACCATTATGCTATAGTCTACTAAAGATTTGTTGCAACATAAAAATCACCAATGAAATACCTGAAGCTTTGTTTGTGGGAAGAACATTCTATACAAATTTCTAGGTTGTTGTAAGTTAGTTTGACTCCATTATTTTTATCTCAATACATAGGAAAGATAATACTTCCATTGCGCAGCATCTATACATGATGTCAATAGACAGTCTGCGCTGCCCTCTACTGCTCAGAATGGTACCTGATGGCTTTGAGTTACCCTGTCGATTCAGTGGGAAAATGATTCTCTGAACTTTTCTGCAGATCTTTAGGAGTGCTCATCATTACATTGCATACTTCTCATTGCTCCTGTTCACTGTATTATTCCAGTCTGTTCTATTCTGGTACATTGTATTAATGCATTACAGCACATACTGTTCAATTAGCAGCACTTCAGTTTTAAAATTAATAGCATAGAGTATGCAACATCATGTCAACTATATCATTAACAGATAATATTTTACATTCTCACTATCTCTCTTACTCACACACACAAAAGCTATGTCCCAATTCATAGGCCGCACACTTCGGAAGACCCGGCCTTCGTGGTCTGCGCGGGCCGGCTCCTTCGAAGACCGAGAAAGCCGGAAGTGCGAGGCTGTGAAATGGGACGGTCTAGCCTTCAGATTTGCATTACCAGCTGTCTCGGTGGAGTTTAATAGACTAAGTCATCTGCTCCTTTCTCGCTAATAAATAACACGACACTGGAGTAAATTCTCGACAACCTCACACTTCTGTTTAACCAGTTTTCTGTTTGACGTTTATTCAGATGTGAAAACTATAACTTTAATCTCAGCCAAAGCGATTTACTCAGAAAGAAATAAAACGCTGAAAAAAGCCAAACAATTATATTTTTAAGTTATCTAAGTGACTTGTATATCATGTTTAACCTGAGTAGCGAAAGACCACAGGGGTCTGAAAATGATGTAAAGTCTGTTCTCAGTATTTAGGTTAATGGTTTTAATTAGTTACTATGAAAAACTACTTTGCCTTCTGAAACAAAATATAATTTGTTTGTTGATCACAAAGTGCCTAAAGCAACTTCAAAATCTGATTAACCTGTCACCACCATTTGGGTTCAGATTGGGCAGGTCGTTCCTGGCAGTCACATCCCTCTAGGTCATACGACCATTGCCCAGGTGAGCATTGAAGTCCTCTCGTGTTGAATACTCTCCTGCGCGCCACCTAGTACCTGAAAGAAGGCCAGGTACTCAGGCTCTAAGGCTACGTCCACACGTACCCGGGTATTTTTAAAAACTGAGATTTTTCTATGCGTTTGCACCTTTGTCCACACGTAAACGGCGTTTTCGGTCACTGAAAACTGAGATTTTTAAAAACGCCTGCCAGGGTGGATATTTTCGAAAACTCAGTTTTTGCATTTATGTGTGGACGAGGAAAACGGAGAAAACGCAGCGTCAAAGGTGTGCGCTTTTTTAACGTCACACTGTGCACCACGTTATTGTTTCGGTGAAATTAATTTCTACAATGGGGGACTTAGACAAAATACTGTTAATTGTACTCTCTGCAGTGTTTAAATGCTCACAAATACACACCACTTGCACGAACTAAAACATGTATTTATATTCCAGATATCTGTAGTATTATTGGAATCCTATAATTACAACACATTTACCTCTCCTCCACTTTTTTGAAGTGTCTCCCAGTCCCAGCGCACTTGTTAGCATGTTTTGGTTCGTGCAACTGGTCTGTCGGGTTGTCTCCCCAGAAAAATTTCCATTGTGTTTTTTCCTATTTCTGTTGTGTTTTGTGTGCTTTCCAGCATTTTTCTTTTTGCAGGTGTTTTCTGAAGTTGTAATGCCACATTTGTCTTTTTGCACCATTTTTCTTTTTGCAGGTGTTGTCTGAAGTTGCAGTCTGTTTGGCCTCTCAGGGCCACCGTACAGTTCTCTAAAAAGAGCCGGAATTCCCATCACTACTGGACATAATGTTTTCAGTGGGAGAACCATTTCATCACTCATCCAAGTGACTTCTTCAGTCTCAGCTAAATGCAGGTTTCCCCAACCTTATAAACAATGCATTTGCATAATCACTGAAACCAGCACCACTGCTGAACAATGGGGTGTGAGGCAAGCTTCTTGATCATTAATATGCAAATTTTCAAGACCACCGATTAAAGACCATTCATCAGTGACCAATGATCATTGATCAATGACAATAATCAATGGCCATGAGTACCATTCAGAGTCCAATCATTTGGACCCCTAGATACAAACTCTGCGATGTAATCTTCACTATCCTCAAAAAGTATTTAATGGGTGAAGTCACCCAGATAAGGACCAAAGGGGGGATCCATTAGCTTCGACGAACTGTTTGATAATACAGACCACAATCATGTAGGTTCTCTAATAAAAAATGTTGTACAATATGAATCTTTATCATCATGGCACCCACAAAGACATTGACATCTTTCATGGTGATCCTCTACCATCAGCACAACACTAATACACACAAAAAACATTTGACGTTTACAGTATAATGAGACCACTGGCCACTTCTACATATAAAACGACAAAGATGCAATATACAGAATTAAAGCAAAAATGTTGAAAGCAGAACAAAAGGCAGTTCAGAAAAACAAACAAATAAACCATTTGTATTACATATTTATTCATTCCTCTTTGAATTTGCTTTCTTGACCTCTTCATTTGTTTTCCAAGGGGACTGACACAGTGGTATGAAAAATGACTTTGCCTTCTTCCTGAATATTATGATTTTCTTGTCTGATGTGAACCAAGCAACATTTCATTTTTGCCTTATGGAAAATAAAAATTTGTTTAACTTGTCCCGATAACCTTGTGGTTTTTTTCATCTTGTGTATGTGTTGTGGTTGGGTGTGGTTTGTGGCTTGGCTGTCCACAGTATATTTTCAGTGTTTTTGGGGATCCCTGAAAGAAAACTATTTCCCAAAGTAATCTCCTTGTGGTTCTCATTAGTGTGTTTAAGTACAATGATCATGAAATAAACTGAGTCACTCATTTTTATGGTTAGACTCAGTTAATATGAAATAAAGTAAATAACCTGACCTAGAATCTCTTTCTTTAACTATAGCTGAATACATTTAGCAGTAACTAATTTGAACTCGAATTAAATTGCTTATACTTAAACAAGCTTTCACTTTCATGGATTTGACAAGATGCTATAATATGTAGTAGTAAAGTAAGTAGAACTTTCACGCTATTATGAATGTTTTATATTTACAACTTTGTACACTTTTGAGATAATTATACGTAAATGGGGGGAGAAAATATGTGTACCTCTAGAAGTAGTTTAATTAGTTGAAGTTAAAATAAAAGATTTAACCAGATTCAAAAACTTTAATTTAATTTATGAGATGAAAGTTTCATTTAAATTGTTTTGTACTTTAAAAATCCACCTTAGTCCAGTTTCATTTTACAATGACTAATAAATACATGAGCTGCTTGAACAAGTATAAGTCACAAGTCTGTGTCCCTACTGCTGAAAGCAAATAGGTTCTTAGAATAAAAGGGATGTCCTGTTATGCAAATACTTTATGACATGCTCACATCTCCAGCATATATTTTACAAACGTCTTTGGCTCCTCATTGCTATGAAAGATTCTTCTAAAGACGACAACAATGGATCAGCTCTTCACCTTCATCCTGCTCTTGCTGAATTTGTCTGGAACGCTTACCAAGTACATTTATGTTGACCAGAAAAGGGATTGGCTTGAAGCTCAGAGTTACTGTCGGCAGAACTACACAGACCTGGCCCCTGTAAGTACTGAGAAGGATGTCAACAAACTAAAGCAGCTCT